CACAAAAGTCGATGGAACTTTTTAGTACAAATCTACAAACTTTTTGTGAATATTCTACGCAGAGTGTCATTTTCATGCGAACAGTGCAAACCCAGCCGAGAGCTATTTGTCGTACAATTAGATAGACGCAAGTCAAAGGTCACCTATTGAGATTAAGACGCACTACGGCAAGACAAACACAGTTATTCGTCGCATTTAACAAACTGTTTTGCATCGTGATACAGTAATGTGGACCGAATTTGATTTGAAAGTATCAGTTGAGTCAAGAGATTTCACCAAGAAATCCTATTTCGAAGAAACACCATTTCTAAGACTAATTCAAAGTTGATTTAATTGATAAGTCCGATGACTTCGACTATAAAACACATTCGCTGTTTTGCTTGGCTTCAGAGTGAGTTTCACAGTTGCAGTGGACAGTGGACAGTACACAGAATACAATAGCAAGATGAATCCATATATTTTGTTTGCATTTTTATTGTTAGCAATCAGCCAAGTAAGTAAATTTCAATTGTGACAAATATGTCAAAATTTTTGATCGTTGTTTTTTTTTCAAGGTTTATGATGTTGTTGGACATGAATATCCCGATGATGATGAAGGGTGGCCCGAACCTATTCTCCACAATTAGTTTTCGAATAAAAGCAATTATTTGTCAAGAGAACCTACCATCTTCCTATAATAATAACTAGATTGTGAACCGAATAGACAAAATATGATTGACTTTGATTGCGATGACTGGCTGAATCAATAAGTTTCATCAAGAACTCATATCTCAAAGAAATGCCATTTGCAGTGGCGTAACTGGGTGTTTTGTTAAAACAGCAGAAAGCAAAAAATTGAGTTGAATAAAATCATTTGATGGAAATATTAAACTAAATAGTTATTGTATTGATTTGACTCCAGAAATCTCAATGGATTCTGATCGAATATCACTTTTTTCAGTTTATCATTTATGCCCGCAATTTTAGTCAAGAATCAATATTTCCTCTAAAAAAACATTCGCAGTAAGTGCGCACTTATTGATTACTCAATAAATGCTGTAGTATACTGTTATTCACAATGATTTGATT